GCCCCAAGCATGTGCTTGGGTGCCTGGTGCCTGGAGCCGGCCCTGAATATAAGGCCCCAAAGAGTTTAATTTTAGATTTACATGATGTGATGAGGGAAGGGAAGAGTGGACAGATTTGAATACAGTATTTGCTGTACAAGAACAGATCTTTCAGCCTAACTCTCTAATTTTCTTTTTAAGACATTTTGTTTTTAAACTTTGTGGGAAGGTGAAACTTCAGCACTCCAAGGAGTTAAGGTCTCCCTCAAGCTGTGCCTGCTTTGGGGATTTTCTGAAATTTCCCCAACATTAGCTTTCTCCACTGGTGCTAGCCATGAGCGCTAGTGTAGAGCGACTGCCAGTGTTCTTACCGTTATGTGATCTAGACCTGCTCTGAGCAAGGACAAAAGCCTTGAGCCTTCTCTACACTAGAAATATAAAACACTACTGATTCCCCATTGCTAGCACTAATGGAGCTGCTTTAGAACTAGATCAACAGTAGGATAATTTTGGAGACTCCTGTGTGGACCTAGCCCTAGTGAGACCTTTAATTCCCCTGGAGTGTTGACATTCATCCAAAGGTGGTGGTGGTTTAAGTTGTACTGAAATGGTGCATAGGTGTGTGCTGGACCCATTGCACAGGGGTGATTTTCACCCTACATGAAGCAGTATGCACACCTGTAGTGCTCTTTACAAATGCTGATGATAGTAATGTGTGTGGATCTGTTCTCATTTATACCAGTATAAAGCAGGAGTAACACCTTTGAAGTCAGTTGAGTTACACCAGTGTAAATGAGATCAAGACTGGGGCCCAGTGGCCTGAGTCCTGTACATTCTGCACACATATGAGTTATCCCACTGATGTCACAAGTCACTGACATCAGTGGGACTACTACTTAGCAAGTAACTGATCACCAGTGGGAGTGAGATTATGATTTTGGTTTTGGGAGGATTATGTTCTTTGTTGTATCAGTGCTTTATGTTATCGATTACATATCTAGGCCTAAAAATAGACGTACTTTAGCATCATGTATTGGAAAACAGAAATTAAGCACTACTATATGGATCTGCTACTGTACTTTAGGTGGAGTGCTGCAAATGGTGAACAGTCTGTCTGTTTGCACAGGTTTATTGCTCAAGATGGGAGTGTGAACAGCAGATTAGGAGATGATATGTGACGTGTTCTTTCCTTACTCTAAAAGTACAAGGTCGTGGAATGAATGCTTTGCCTTACTAGTTGCGCTGCAGGTCTGTTCAGATGTGTTTATCTCTAAGAAAAAAACACATGTAAAACAAAAATATAGAATGACTCAAGTCAACTCCTTGCTCTCTCAGTGTGTATGTGGAGCTCCATTATCCGTGTCAGACCCTAAGGTAGGTCTTTCTAGGACCTTACTTAAATCTGTGTTCTGCTGCTGCTATCAGAGGAGTAGTTTTTAAATGCCAGATCCTCAGCTGGTGCAAACTGACATAGCTCCATTGACTTCAGTGGAGCGAACCTTATTTACACCAGTTAAAGTTCTAGCCATTTGCTAGGATCTATAGATTTGTTTGAGATCAATTTTGTTTGTTCTCTACAGAAATTGCAATAGAATTCATAGTTTACCTATTTGCTCTATTTATAATAATAAATTTTGCATTGTCAGTGGAATAATTTAGTGCAGAATGCTACCTGTATTGATTCCCCCCTCTTATTGCAATAATCAAATTAAATATTTAGACTACAAATTCCTTGTAGTACCTAAAATTATTGCACACAATGATATACTCAAAGGACCAACAAAAATTGGCTGCTTAATAATGGTGGCCTTCCAAAAAGGTGGGCAGACATAGATTGTGCGTGTTCTGTGAATATATAAAATTCCAGCAATAGAAAATGGCTGAAATGTCATGGTGCCCTGCTCTAATTGACAACCAAATATTGTATCTTAAGTGCTTTCTTGTTTGCTGAATATGTGTCATTTCTAATCTTTTAATGTTCGCATAAATGTAATATGGCAGGCTGAAATATTTGTTATTTAGAAGCACTGAGAAGATAGTACCTATTTTCTAAATTGTAATGCAAGCTATAATAAAAAAATAGGCTGGAGGAAAGAGAGGAAGGAAGGAAGGAAGTGAAAGCAAACAGCACAAGCTTGTGGTATGTTTGAGTTATTACAACTGAGTCTGCTAGCTCAGCAATGATTCATTATAGCCTGTCTTTTTTAAAGAGCTTTCTAATTCAGCTGTTTGAAATCTCATCAGGCATCCATCCAAGTTGGTTGTCAGCCCAGGGACACTATTTTCCTTCTCTCTCTTTCTCTTTTGGTTCTCAGTCAAAATTGTTCAAGAAGTTAAGTTGTTTCTCTGCTACAGAGCATTATGCCATTTGTAGCAGATTCAGCACTTTTCTGGTTCTTGTGTACTATTAAAGCTGCTTAAAAGAGTTTCTGTGTTGCATTTATCATGACACAAGGGACTGAAATCTCTGTTACAATCCATTGGCTCCGCCATGGGTCAAAGATGGTTTCATTGAAGCAGCCTTGGTTGACCACACAAAGACCGTAATATAGGGCCAAGTTATTGCCTTTGGTGTAAAAATCTGTGGAATGGGAAAATATACCTACACAATTCTGTTGAATTGGAGGGCTGCTGTTCTGCCACATGCTTCCCTTACTAAGACACAAAGGCCAAGGGAAAGAAGCTAAGGACACTGAACTGAATCCTGCAGTTCTCTAGAGCTGACATCCCTCTATGCACCTATCAAGCTTCCTTCCCCCCAGTATTGGTGGTGTGGCAGGTGGATGTGCTGGCCTGCAGTTGGTTCTCTCTTTTTGACTACCTGTATATGCATCTTTTGCTTGTCTTTGGAGGTGTCACAGAGCAGAACTTAATGCCAAAAAACTGCTATGTTAACCCACAAGTGACTTTGCTATGTAAGCTAAGACCACTTCTACTAAGAGAAAAACACACAGACCACATGCCCTACAAATTCTTCCACAGTTCACTACCCCAAATGCATGCAGATTTTGCCCTGTGCTAAGCTGCAGCACAGAGGATGCCTGTGGCTATGTACTGTAGATGAGCAAGCAGCTGAGCAGCCTTTTCTCCTCCATTCAACTCCACATCCCTTTTCTATGCAATTCCCATGGGTTGCTCCCCTACACACTGCCCTGAGGGCCCATCGTGTGCAACATCATTATTTTCAGTGGGTTGATCTTAGCAATTACATTTTATATAGATGTAAATTGTTCTAAATAGATAAATACATTATAAATCAGGCAACACAGTAAGAGTTCAGATTTCCCTTTCAAGCATCCATGCTTTGGCCTTGTGGAAGTGATGAACCAAAGCCCACACTAAGTCACAATGAAACTGTCTGAAATTCACTGTTCATGAAAGTAATTAACAATCTGTACGTATACCACCAGCAGATCTACAACACTTTTGAAAAGGGGGTAAGCATGGCTATCTTCATTTTAGAGACTGAAGCAGTAGATCCTATGACTTGTTCATTGTCACACACTAAGTCCCTTGTAGAGACAGGACTAGAGCTCAGTTCCCCTGATTCCCAGACTCAGTGCTCAGTCGCCGAGTTCATAGCTACCTACCCTTGTTAGCTGCCTGCAGTGTTACCTCTTTTCATTGTGAAAGGAAAATAGAGCAGAATAATACATTTCTGTTAAATGTTTGCATAAAGCTCTTTTAAAAAAGAGAAAACCGTGTATCATATTTTCTGTGCAGACATTATTTTCAGGCTGTTTGTTCAGCAAATTCGGTATTTATGTCAGGTGTTGCCACTGGGAAGATAATAATCCAATCATAGTAATGTTGTTAGCAATGCTCATTTGCCTAATTCGTGCTTATGATGATGGGTCATCGTTAGCCATTACATACAGTGTAATGTTTCTGTGGCAAAGTTATGTATTTAATTTGTTCCTGAAGCGTCAGTTTCATTTATTATAATATGGTGTTGTTTATGGGTACTGTAACACTTTTATAGCAAGTTAAACCATATGCCGTATGAAAAACATATTTTAAATTTTTCTGTATCTGAAAATGCTGTGGCTTATTTGACTTGTTCACCTTTAAAAAGGTTGTTATTGATGACCAGTGGAGGATGTCCCCATCCCAGGATGAAGAAAGGATAGATGCACAAAAGTTCACTCCCAGAAGATGGGGCTCTGGAAAAAGATCTCGGCCAAGGCCACTCTCAGACTATGGTCAGTTGGCAATCAGGAGTTTCTCAATACCAGAAGATTCAGTTGCAGTGGAGTCTCAGAAAACAGACTATGTAGATGGTGAAAGTCAGCCTGGATTGGCTTCTGTGGAGTCTACAGCTCAAATCAGTACAGTAGGTCTCCAAAGAGGGCGAAAACAAAGACCCATCTCTGTAATAGGTGGGGTCAGTTTCTATGGGAGCAGCCAGACAGAAGAAATAGAAGATCTGCTGACACAAGTAAGATATAAGATGTGCTCTCTGCAAACTACAAAAGACTCTTCCACCTCCTTGCCTTTATCTTCAAGCTAGAAAATAGAGTGGACATTTCCTTTCCTTTCTTCTCTTTTTCCAAGCTGACATCACATACTTTGTTTCGCTTTCCTTGTCTCTAATTTTTCGTAAAAAAAACCATAACATAAGATCTTGACTTTTGGATAATCTTGCTTGCATTGTAAACTAACCCTCTTTCTTTCTTGGGACGTTATTTCCAGTAGCTGTTTAAAAATGCTTATTTGTTTATAATAAGGTCACATGTATTTTTGATTAGTCTACAACACACAGGATGTAGAATTCAGGTGAGAGGTGCATACAAATAATATTATAAATGCAATAAAGTATTCATAATCCTTTGAAACCAAGCCTCTTAAAAAGCTATGGGTATGAACTGCTTGGTATTAGCGCACGTATAGTTAAATGGATAATCCATTCGAAAACATTGTAGAACAGACCAGGATCTCAGACTGGATGTCTCAGGGATTTGCTAACATGAAATGGAGTCTTTCCATTGACTTTAATGGGCTGTGGCTCAGGTTCAATCTCTTTCACTTAAATATGCTTATGAGCAGCAGCTAAACAAAATTGATATAATCTGACAGCACTTGGGTAGCTTGTGAGAAATTAGTGGTCTCAGTCCAGTTTCTAATTGACAGGTGTTCATACAGGAAAAACATACACTACTTTATTCCTTGGGGAATTCTGCACTAGTGTGCAATGCAGAATTTTGCAGAAATTAACTTTGTGCGGGCAGAATTTTCTTTCCTCCACAAAATGGACTGCAGTGCTGTTGGCGGCCACTAGGGGCTGCTGGACCCAGCAGAGCCCAGCTCGCACATGAAGACACTACAGGGGAGGGGGAGGGGGCTAGTGGGTTCCTGGCAGCTGCAGATCCCAGCATGTCCTGAGGGAAGGAGAGGGCGGTGCACAGGAAACTCCATGCAAGCCTGGGACCGATCATCGGGCAGTTTCTCCCTCTGGGTGCCTGGGCTTCGGGGGAGTGGAAGGGGGCAGAGAAACAGGAACTGGGTTGTAATAGGGGTTTCTTTAACTCTTTACTCCTGGGGGAATTTTTTTCTGTCTGTATTGTTACAGACATACTTGTAGACAGGCATTTTGAAATAAATTACCAAAATAATTGAAACTGGCGTGATTATGTGGTGGTATTTTGACAAATAAAATTTGCAAAATTTTTCAGAATTTAAAATACTGTGTGCAGAATTTTTTATTTTTTTTGGCACAGAATTTTTTGGTGCAGAATGCCCCCAGGAGTAACTACTTGAACTGGCCCCTTTGTTGGCTGTGCTAAGGGGTCAAGGAATGAATAAATTTGGGAAATGAAAGCACCCCTCTCTCCCCTAGAGGTAGTCTACAGCAGAGTTGAGGCAGTGAAAAGAAGCCTGCTTAGTTGTACATGTTCTACAGATAGTAAGAGAACTTTGGTCTCAAGTCCTATCCACAATGCAGTCTCTCTGTTAACATGTTCTCCACGTAACGAAAAGGTTTGAGAACGCCTAGTTCAAGCATTTGCTAAATTGATTGAACACGGAAAAAAATTATAGCATTTCCTTTAAAAGTACTTTGAAGTTGTTAAAGAGACCTGATTGCTCTTAGTCTTAATTGTCCTCATGAGACTCTACCTCATGCTGGGAAATTCAATGCAGTGTCATTAAAAGCAAGGCCCCCACTGAAAAGAAACAATGATCCCACTCCCTGAATAGGAATGCTAAAACAATGACAGGTTTTTCAGAGTTTCCTGTGAAAACTATTTTTTAACATGGATATTCTTATGTAGTCAGTAATTCTTTCGCTCTGTAGTATAATATAGTTGTCCTTGACTTTTTCCTGATCAAAAACAGCTGGATCCTCCTGCACTCTTTTCCAGCAAAACGGATTGAAATCAATGGAAGTTTTGTCTGTGTACAGACCAATGCTGCAGTCCCTAATAAAACATCTATATTGTTTAATTAGTTAATTAAATACTTAACTTTTTGTGTTCATGTGAGCCATTCGCATTATTATCAAATCTATGCCTTCATGAATTGTAAATAAATATTAGTTGGTTTTCAAGAGGTGCTCTTTAATACTGTTAGGGCTTTAAGTCCAACCTACCTTGATAGGTGTCCCATATTTTTTGAGACTTACCTCAAGGATTTCAGGAATATGTTGTCATTTTTTTTAAAACCAATTGTTGCTACAGTGTGCAACTTATTTAAAAATAACCTCACCTGTTTCCCACTGGAAACAAATCAGTGCTTTCCTCTTGTAGCTTCCATGCATCAGTTAACGAAGAGTCAAAGAACAGAATAGGTTTTTTTAATTGCAGCTTTGCTGCCACAAAGATGGGATTAAATAAATACATTGTTTTTGGAGTTAAGACCAAAAATATGTGACAACTTCCAAGGTAGGTACATTTTAATGACCATAACAAGGGACATTTAGGTCTCAATCCTGCTCCCATTGAAGTTCAATGGCAGTTCTTCTGTTGCCTACAAAGGGATCAGGATCAAGACTTTAATGGTTAAATTATAATTGCCCAGGAATAAATACATTAAAAGTAATTGGCATTGCGGATATTGGGTGTTTGTTATGGAACAATTTGGAGTTGCTTTTCTTGCTTTAGTTCAGTAGTGCAGTTCTGAGATATTGATATACCATAGGAGAAAATAATTAGTAAAGAATGAAATAATAATTAGATCATATTAAAATATATCAAGATATTTTTCAGTCCGGTGTTTGGTAGTTAAATTGCTACTTAAAATGTATGAAAAAGACTTATGATTGAGGAACACATATATCAGAACTATTTCATAAAGAGCTTTTAAAGCCTAATTTTCATGTAGCAGATTTTTTTTTGAAAGTGTTGAACATCAGTGGAATGTGAAAAAAGTGCTGTTAACTCGTTTTGTTTTGTCTGACAACTTCGTGTGGGGGGAAAAAGCTTTCAAGCAATAGTAAATCACTTGTGTCATACCAGTGGGTCGACAAATAGTTCATAGAGAGGCTCTGGTGTTTCTATATGCTTAATTTACAAGCCTAAGAGGAAAAACAATTAAGAGGCTAAGGCCATGTCTACACTAGTGAGCTTACAGCGGCACAGCTGTACCGATGCATCTGCACTGCTGTAAGATCGCTCGTGTAGCCGCTATGCCGACAGGAGAGAGCTCACCTGTCGACATCATAAAACCACCTTCATGAATGGCAGTAGCTATGTTGGTCTGCAGGAGAAGCTAAAAGGTGCCTAATTTGCGTTAATGTAGTCCTGTTTCAAACAGGACTACATTACCGTGATCTAGGTACCTTTTAGTTCATGCTGGCAGGATCTACACAGGGCAGTGACAGTGCAACACTTCAGTTCACACCCCTGTAGTCCAGGGGCCATGCAGACAAGCTCTAAGAAAAAAATCAGGGTTAAGATTCTTTTTTTGGTTTAACTATAAAGTATGTTCCTCAGCAGCAGGACATTTATCTCGAACAACATTCTGGGAAATTAACACACCTGGTTGTATAATTTCTATTATTTTTCTTTTCAGTGTTTCCATTCTGTTACATATTTACAGTTGGCTAACATTACAGTAAACTGTTCTGAGATGTTAGCTACCAGAGCATTTTAGACATGGAATATTATGGAGTGAAGACTGAAAAGCAGAATATACAGTGTCACTAAACGTAACAGAAGGTTATGGAGTTTTTAATATAACCGAGAACTTTAATGCTATAAGATATTTACCATAATATTGTGTATGGAATGTGGTGGTCAATCAATTTAATGACTGCTTGAACTAGGGGTTCTTAGTGTCCATATAGTCAGCTTGAGAGTGTAAGGAAACCCTGTTTCATACCTGTAGCTGTCTTTGGCTTACTAGTAGCTTTTACTACTAATAATAATGGATTTTCTTTTTTCTCTCTGTAGCCAATAACACGGCCTCCTGTTCCAGCCCACCAAGTTCCCCCATATAAAGCTGTTTCAGCCAGGTTCCGGCCCTTCACCTTTTCACAAAGCACCCCCATTGGCCTGGATCGAGTGGGACGGAGGCGGCAAATGAGAGCATCTAATGGTAAGTTTTACAGGTCTTTTTAAGGGGTTACAAACCAAATGTGTTACGAGAATGGGCCAATTCATCAGTGCCTTGGATGGTGGGTGTAAACTACACATAGGATGTAAATTGATGCAAATGGTAAAGTAGCTTATGATGAAGCTGCTTTATTTTATACCTTCCTGTTAGTGCTTGTCCTGCTATGCTCAAGTTACACTTGTGTTGCACACCCACTGAATGGTAAATTGATTCAAGTTGCTCCCCTTTACTGCTTGTACTCATATTTCAATCCATGTACTCCCTACTGCTCACTGAAGGCTTGTGGAAAGGTAGGCTGCATTAACTAAGGGCTTGTCTACACGGGCACTTGACAGCGCTGCAACTTTCTCGCTCAGGGGTGTGAAAAAACACCCCCCAGAGTGCTGCAAGTTTCAGCGCTGTAAAGTGCCAGTGTAGACAGTGCACCAGCTCTGGGAGCTATTCCTCTCGTGGAGGTCACTATGCCACGACTACACGGCCACGTTAAAGCGCTGCCACGTAGCTAGCGAAGACGTGCCCTTAAGGTATAAGTTTAAAGCCCATTAAAGCACACTAAGCCTTTGTGTGGAGGCTCTCATTCAGAAGTCAAGTGGCAACTGCTGAAAGAGAGTGTTCAGAGAGGGATTTAATGAACTTTAACTAAGCACTTTAAATTCACGCCTTTAGTTAATTCAGATTAATTTCCAATGTAGAAAAACCCTAAATCACCAAAGGATTTGTCCCAGAGATTTGTATGGGAGTTGCACCTGCTTACTACAAGAATGAATGTAGCCCATGACATTTATCCAGTTTTATGTAAAGTACAAATCCTTAGAAAGGACTGTAAAATCAAATGCCTTTTTGAAGCAGTGTCTTTTAATGTCCTTTTGATTTGCACCTTACATTTATTCTCCAGTTCTGCTTATCATTAGCACTTACTTGCCACATTATCTCAAGCTGATAGCAAGAACAATAGTATCGTCTCATAAATCATTAATTGGCAGGAGATGTTAAAAAGGAGCTTGGTCAATACCATCTGTCTTTTTTCAGATACTAGAGAACAATTTTACTCATTTTTCATTATCAAGGGCCTAAAAAGTCAAAGTGCATTCTTCACTTCAGGCCCCTTCACTTCAGTATTCTAAAGAATAGCTGCTGTAAAGCCACTTACAAATCTTCACTGTACTGCTCCATATATACATGGAGTAAGTAGTGTTGAAATCAGGATCTACTGTGACTGAAGTGGAAGATCTTATCAAATAGCACTTTCAGTGTTTCTTTTTTTAAAAAATTAAGATCATTAATCAAATAATTTTTCAGGAGCCTGTATTTGTTGCAGATTCATACCAGTTCCAAGTCGAATTGTTAACTAGATCATGCAACTTTATCTAAATTCCAGGGAAGGAAGACCCTTAATCCACAAATACATTATTTTAGCTATCAGGGTATTTACATACTGCATGCTAAAATCCACAGAAGACAATCACTGAGATGGAAAAGTAATATTAGGTAAGTATTCAAGGTACCTTTAGCCTCTTCTAATGTAATTTCACAGCTAGAAATGGGACCAGCCAGTTCTCCGATCACTAGCAGGTGCTCCATGGACCACAATTTGGGAATTACTGGCTGTAGTATTGAGATTGTGTGTGTGTGTATATATATTACAATATTGGAGACAGTTCTAAGTGTAGAAGAATTTATAGTCCAGTTGAAATGATTAAGTAGTACCTCTCTCCATGAGTAATCCCATTGATTCCAGTAGGACTTCTCACTGAGTAAGGAACTAATCCATCATGAGTTAGGATGAAGAAATCAGGCTTTTAAATATCACAAAGTGGGGATTTTTTTTTTTAAAGTTATGCTTTCTGTTTCATCTTTGGAAAAATAGCATTGGCTAACAAATACAGCTACCTCAGATTAATTTCTTCTTTGTTATTTTAGCTTTAGTATATCCAAGGTTTCATAAATATAAATGTTTGAGGATAACAGATTATGAAAGTAAGGATTTCTGTCATTTGGGAAAGGAGTGAAATCAAAGCAATGCTGGTCATACCTAGATATTACGTTAGCAAACTAGTTATTATAACTACAAAAGTCATACGTGAATAGCTTTCTAAATCAAAGCCCTGATGGCAAGTGGGTGGAATATTAGGAGACAGCAAGAGCAATATATCTATTTTTTCTTAGTTACAGGAAAGTTTTATTTTGTGTTACCTAATATGAAATTATAGATATAGTCAGGGGTGAAAGTAAAAATAAATGCTTACCAGTACGAGGGCGGCTCTGGCCCACAGAAGGGGCAGGGCCTCGGGCGGAAGGGATGCAGGGCTGGGGGCTCCACCTCCCCCAGCCAGCCCATCCGCGCTGCCTGGCCCCCGCCACCTGGGGCTCTGGCAGCAATTTAAAAGGCCCCGGGGCTCCGGCTGCTGCTGCGGTAGCAGTGGCGGTGGCCAAGAGCCCCGGACCCTTTTAAATCGCCAGCCCTGGGGCAGCTGCCTTTTCACCCCCCTCCCGTCAGCGGCCGGGAGGGGGAAAAGGGCAATGACGTTAAAGTGCGGCGGCAGCGCTTTAACATCGTTGCCCCTTTTGCCTCCCCTGTCGGTGGCCCTGCCAGTACGGGGTCCCTACGGACGGTGGGGAAGGGGCAGGGACGTTAAAGCACTGCTGTGTACGGGCCAGTACCGGCTTCTTACCAGTACGCCGTACCGGCTCACTTTCACCCCTGGGCATAGTGTACACCCACTAAAAGCTGTTTTTTGGGTCTCTGATATGCAAGTGGCACAAGTAGAGATGATGTTCTTGTTAGGGGTAGCAGGAACATGTTTGGTGGGAATTTAGATTCAATATTCAGAATTTCCCAACAGACTTGACTCTTGTTTGATTTGGAGTTACAGTTCATGCTAGCTGGACATGAGAGGATTTAAATGACAACTCTCCCTCACCCACAGCCAATCAGAGTTTCATGGTGGGGTCGGCTACTGTGCAGGAAAAAGATGGAAAGTAAAGGAAAATAAGGTTCTGTCGGGGCCATACCACAAATATTGGGAAATGATCTGGCAGTGGTTGCAGAGAGTTTTTAAGTAGTTCCAATGAATAATGGAAGGTCACATAGTTAATTTGCCATTTTTTTTTTTTTTTTTTTTACATATTCTGATCTTTTCCCTTTTCCAGCTTCAGGGTCCGGGAACCCACCTTGGGAGGGTCTTGGCTCCAGGGTGAGGAAAAGGTCCTGGCTGCTGGGGAGAACGGATTCTCCGCTTGCCTGCTGCGCATTCTTCTCCTCCTCCTCCTCTTCCTCATTCACAAAATCCTCCTCCCTGTTGCGTGAGACTCCCCCCTTGCAGGTGTCCACAGACAGTGGTGGGATAGTGGTAGGGTCCGTCCCCCCAGAATGCCATGCAGCTGATCATAGAAGCGGCATGTATGGGGCTTTGACCCAGAGTGACCGTTTGCCTCCTTTGTCTTTTGGTAGGCTTGCCTGAGCTCCTTAACTTTCATGCGGCACTGCTGTGTGTCCCTGTTGTAGCCTCTCTCCACCATGGCCTGTGCGATTTTGGCATATATATTAGCATTTCCTCTTTTTGATCGGAGTTCTGCCTGCACAGATTCTTCTCCCCATACAGCAATCAGATCCAGTGTCTCCCATTCACTCCATGCTGGAGCTTGTTCGCGAATCTGGGACTGCATGGTCACCTGTGCTGCTGAGCTCACCACGCTGACCAAACAGGAAATGAAATTCAAAGTTCCTGGGGCTTTTCCTGTGTACCTGGCTAGTGCATCGGAGTTCAAAGTGCTGTCCAGAGCGATCACATTGGAGCACTCTGGAATAGCTCCCGGAGGCCAATACCGTCGAATTTCATTGGCACTACCCCAAATTCGACCCAGCAAGGTCGATTTTAGCACTACTCCCCTCGCCTGGGAGGAGTACAGCAGTTGATTTTAAGAGCCCTTTAGGTTGACGGAACAGTCTTGGGTGTTTAGATGCATTGCTTATAAAATTGACCTAACGCAGCTAAATTTGACCTAACCTCGTAGTGTAGACCAGGGCTCTGAAGCAGACTTGAGGACAATGAGAAATCCTACCTTGGAAAAACCTGATTCTAAGACCCAAAGCCTGAGATTAGGTTTTTATTTTTATATTGAAGCAACAACTTCTGAGCAGTATTGATGTTTCTTCTTTCTTCCTAGGAAAGAAGGAACTGTGTAAACTGTACAGTTGTTACAACTTGAAAAGAGGTGGAATGTGGCTGGATCTATGTTCAGCATGTTCATATACATGGCCTAGAACCCTGCAAGCCCTGCTGAGGTGCTGGTGCAGAGTTGTGTTCTTATTGTGAGGGATGCCTCATTTTGGCCTCTCTTTTTTTTGTGTCTGCATTTATTTATGGATGCAGTTGATGTCATTTAGATTTCTGCATGTCTGATTGTGTCCTCAGTTATTTGTGCTTCCTCAGTCCCTTCCTTCTCCCCTTCCCCCAATCCTCTTGTGCAACAAGCAACTGGCCCACAATAACTCATGTGATATTTTGGCTGCCTTGCTTAGCATGGGGCTAGGACCACAAGGACATACAGAACTTTTTGGGGCAAATGCTGGTCACATTGAAATCAATGAGAGTTCACTATTGACTTCACACAGGCCAAGGCCAGGTGATATTAGACAGCTACCATAATTAACAAACAGATATTTGTTGGTCCCTTGAGTCGCTACTGAAAGGAGTTTTCAATGTAGTGAGATCTAGCCATCTTAACTTAATTTTTTTGTCCATATTTTATGCTATTCCTTTTTCACCTGCCTACTCACATTCTCAGAGGTGTGATAGAGTAATTCAAAGGGGTGAACCTGTTTTATGTTATAGTTTTAGGATTTTGTCTGGACAGCACTTGTTCAGTGTGAATTCTTCAGTCGTTGTTGCAGATCCCAGGGTTGGGGGCTTTTTATGACTTAAGCAAAGGAATTTTCTATGGATGACTCATTTTTTAGTTGTTTACTGATTTGTATTGCA